TGGAGTTGTGGAGCGCTAGGGCGAGCTTGGACCTGCTGCCCGTCACTGATAACTATCATAGCCTGCCCAATTCACTGATCAACACCCTGAAAGTACGTCGCGAAGACATCTTCGGCCCCGAGCACCGCGCTCTTCTTCACCTATGCGCCATGGCCACCGTAACCATAGGCAAATCCTATTTCGACGCTCTTCTACGCAAGTGAGTGCACACTATCTTGAACTTGGCTATGCGCCGGGCTGTTTGCTGATTAAAGTTTTAGGGCTGAATTTGTTCGTGTCCCTCAGGCAGTAGCTATGCATTTGGCACCTGTAGAGCTGACTCTTATCAACAGCATACTTCCAACCAGCCTGTCAGCTACGGCACTGATCTCTCGGACAACGTCACCATCAGTAAGGCAGAACATGAGTACATGGTACGTTTTATTGCACCCAACATCACTCCACACTTTCAAACTTTCTTCAGCATCCCTACAGCTCGCTCTGGTTCCTGCTTTTGGCTGCAAAAATGCTAACAATACATTTGCCCACAGACCCAAGCAGTGCGAGAGTACCGTACGTACACTCCTGCTCCAGCGCAATACTATTCGTTTCTGACCGTACCTAGACCTTCTTAAGAGCGCTTTATTCCGTGGAGGCCTGACGAACCAAACCTTGGATACACTGCTACAGGGCGAGAATGGTGCTTCGAACGAAGAGCCGTCGAGTTACGATTATGAATCGCAACACACACATACAAGATCGCAGGCTACTACTGTAGCAGCGCCTGCGTCAGCTCGTTACCCGAGAGGGTCCGATCATACCTCTGCCAGCCACGGACTCCACCCTAGACCTTCAGCATCGTTCCGTCGAGTCGTCAGCTACGGGGAATCGGAGTCTTTCACAGGCGACCTGGACAGCCCACCTGACGAATATGACGACCGGGATCGCGGACCAGCCCAGCGTATACCGCTCCACGATCAGCGCACTGTGCTCATCACCAACCTTTCCGAGCGTACCACACATAAGGACCTGGCCGGCATTGTCCGTGGCGGCAGACTGCTGGACATTTTCCTCCGCAATGACCGATCTGCAACGGTATCCTTCATCGAAGGAGCTGCCGAATTCCTTGCTTACGCTAAGCGTAATGACATATATCTGCACATGAAGAGGGTGAGATATGCACCTACCCCAAGGCATGAAAGAAGCTGACCATGCCAGCTTGAATTCCGTTGGAGCGACCGGCAATTCCACGTACCACCGCATGTGTCTAACAAGATCGCCGGCGGCGCTACGCGGAATCTTGTCGTCCGAGGCGTTGCAGGCAAGGTCACTACAGATCAGATCCGTGGCCATCTCGATCACATCCACAATCTCATCGTGGTGGACGTCTACTTCAGGAATGGCGATGCATACATCTCAACCAACTCTATCCATAACGCTTTGTTCGCCAGGACCTGCATGATGTCGCGTACTATATACAAGGGGATGCGCATCGAGTACTATCCGGATGAATGCGCTGGACCGCTACCTCAGCCCAAAAAGGCCCACACTCCCGTCACTCGCGTGCCTATGAAGCCTGCACCTGTGGTCAACCAGTATGCTCTTCTGGATACCGGCTCCGACGATGGGTCAGAGTCTGAAGAGGAGTTGTACAGGACCAACGGTGTGCAAGTCGATGGTTACCATTGGGCTAACGGTGTAGTAGCATGAACAGTGCCCATGGATCAGAGCTTGGCCCATTCCGTGGGGTCGGCGAGGACTTACAGTGACTTAATCCGGCCTTTCCGTTCTATCAAGTTTCTTCGCGTTGCGGTACGTTTCAAAGCAAGCTGAGGAAAATTCCGACTATCCAAGCTACATTCTCCATGCGAAGAGAGGGAAGCCAGCTATAGAGCTTCAAGTCGAATCACCATGAGTGAAGGCATGGCGATTAGAATAATAATATGGGTATGTTTTCGAGAAGAAGGTCGTGTCGTACAGCTCTCGATAGGTGTTGGTTGGAGTATGCTTCTTTTCCTATATAGATACCCCTCGGCTACTCTGGAATATGATTGTTTTACTTACAACACGTTGATCCCTTCACGTTTGAAGGAGAAGTCCATGATCAGCGTTTTGCCGGGATGGTGAACTCGCTCACCCCCTGGGCAGAAAGCTTGTCACTTTTAGCGAGCACTAGTCTTGCGTCCACGCGCATGCGTCAGCTATGTCATACGCCTTTGATTAGCCTCACTTCTTAGATCATAACTTCACCACAGATATCCTCCTGAGTTAGTTGATCTATACCAACAAACTTTGTTGAATCAAGATGGCGCCGACGATCAAAGTTGCTGTTATCCAACTCTACCCAGAGGTATCTCCTCTACCCCACATCATCTTGATTACCCATCATGGTCGACCACATCTACAACCATCAGGATCAGTTGCTAACATCAGCTAGCCACTACAGCCAGAGCACAATTTCAACAAAGCTGTTTCATTCATCCGCTCAGCAGCAGCTCAGGGCGCACAACTCGCCGTCCTACCCGAATACCACTTGACAAGCTGGAAACCCAACGATCCCGAGTTCCTAAACTGCATCGAACAATGCTCCGGCTACCTAGAGAAATACTGCTCTCTAGCCAAAGAATGTAACATCTGTAAGACCGTCCCACCACTCACAGCTCCACACATTCCCAAAACTAATTCCTTAATCTCTCATCTAGCCATCGTCCCCGGCACAATTGTAGAATCCCACAGAGAAAACTCCGCAGCAGAAGACAAACTCCTCAACGTATGCTACTACATCTCGCCCTCAGGAGCCGTAACAGGAAAATACATCAAAAAGAACCTCTGGGGCCCTGAACGCGACCACCTCACCGGCTCCCGCCACGACCCGCACGAAGTCTTCGACACACCCATCGGAAAAGTCGGGCTACTAATCTGCTGGGATCTCGCCTTCCCCGAAGCTTTCCGTGAGTTGATTGCAGGTGGCGCGCAAATCATCATTATACCCACCTTCTGGACACTCAACGATTGCAACGAAGCGGGCCTTGCGCGGAATCCGGCTGCAGAGGCGCTGTTCCTAGATTCTATGCTCACGGCACGTGCATTTGAGAATACGTGTGCGGTTGTTTTTGCGAATGCGGGGGGTCCGCCCGGAATGGGGTATGCGGGGTTGAGTCAGGTTACTGTGCCGTTTGTTGGGGCGTTGGGGAAACTAGGGGGTGCAGGGGAGGGCATGTGTGTTGTGGATTTGGATATGCAGGTGCTTGAGGATGCGGAGAGCAATTACCAGGTTAGAAGTGATATTGCGAGGGGAGATTGGCATTATGTTTATAGGCATTCTGGGGATGGGAAGCTTTGAAGGATGGATGGAAAGTTCAGGAGAATTGCATATGGTGGATGTAGGTTAAGCTGTTGTGATGCTCATTGTCCGAAGCGACACTGCTAGCGGTTTGTTGGTTAGAAGGGAATGCTGAGAAATTTGTTGAGTACGATTAGTGCTGTAGTCAATCCTGAAGCTGCATTGTGATTGTGAGGCTCTAACTTGATACTCTTGTATTACCTTTGACATCAAGTGACCATGTCTGGAATGTATGAGCGGGAAAGCACTAGTCTCGATCTAGGCATCGCATGCTGGCATCAATTAAGTAAAAACGAATGAAATATGTCTTCATTTTGATTAATCCAATTTACTCTCGACCAACATCGAGCTCGTCCAAATGCGCCACAAAGTCGCAAGACATGGTATCTGACAAAAGCTTGAGGAAGCAAACCGGTGAACTCCTACCCGCAGCGCGAACGGGTTCCTAGTAGCGCGCAGCGCCAGCCCCTCTCCCAAACTATTGAACGCCGATCATTATGGTCGGAAGCACGACTATGGTCCTGCGCCTAACGCAAATACCTCGACTCCATCGCATGCTGGGCGTCGACTGGTATTTCCGGGTCGCATGTGTGCATCGTCTCTTGATTCAACTCTGGCCGCTACCACTGGTTTCGCTGTCGGACCTCTCGTCCTGCGAACGTAGCCTATTTCCCTTGTCGAGACGCCGTGTTCGTCCGTACTCCAGGTCTCGCCAACGACAATGACCCTCGTTTTTCCTTTTTCCAGGAACTTTTCTTCGTCTCTTGCTAGTTTGGCTGCATTCTCCGGGGCGTAGATCTTTCGGTAGAATTCTTGGAAGCGGGCTTCGCTGTCAAACGTCATTTCTGCAATGCAGTCACAGTCCAGCTCGTTCATCTCGCCCCTTAGCATTAGAGGCGGTCGGTCGGGGTTTGCCGGTCCTCCGAACCCTTTCCGCGATATCCGCGCGAGATAGCGACGTTTGAAATCGATCGGCCAGCAGGAGGCGAGCAGCGAATGGGCCAGGGGAACGTGCGTGTGCTCATAGTGATCTCTGAACTCTTCCGAGGTAAGGTCGTGGTTGCGCGTGATGAAGAGGACGATGGTGTACGTCATGTTGGAGGGTGGGAAGCGAGTCAGAGGGCAGGGAGGCTCTTGACTGCGACAATACGGGTAGCGTGGGTGGTAAGGACAGTAGTAGGGTTTTGACAGCGGCGTGGCTTCCAGAGCGTCTAGAGACAGAGGAACGGCAGGCTTTTGTAGTTTATCAGCCACACTCCATGCGAAGACATCATGCTGGCACCGAGCGCGCCTAAAGCCTCCGTTATTGATGCACACAGCTACTCGTGCTCTAGGGCGAGACTACGGACCCGGCGCCGGTAAACGACATGGGCTCGCCATACTTTCTCAACGCCGTCACGATACCCAGCGCTGAGGAAATCGCCGGTGAGTCGAATCAGGACGCGTCAAAACAGCAGGAAGGCCGCGAGGATTGAGTGGAGTAGGCCTGTTGCGCACTGCCCCTCACAGCGCTGATCCCGGTCGCGCCTGCCCTCTGCTTGGGCGCGCTATCGATAGCAGACTGCCGCTAGCAAACGCACAGAACGCCAAATTTCGTGACAAAGCGGGGAGCAGCACCACGACACGACATTCACCCCCCGTACAAGCACCCGTGCCGTCGCCCGAACGAACACCCAACATGAGTCTGCGCGAGCGTGTCCCGCCGCAGTACCAGAATGGCGACGCTGCCAGGCGCGCCCCGGACGACGACTCGGACGTCGAGGAGGAGGCCATGGCCAACGACTACCGCGAGCAGGTCCAATACGACGGCATGGAGGACCTCGACCGCATGCCCTCGATGAACAGCAACCAGGACATCCACGCGCAACTGCAGGCCGCGGCCACCCCCCTCGAATTCCAGGCCACGCTAGAGACCAAGTTTGCGAGTTACGACAGCTACTGCAACCCTCTTCCACTACATCCTGAACTCTGAGGGCCCCGTCGACCTGGAAGTGCCAAATGTAAGGAATATGGGATACTGAGGAATACGGCAGAGCTAACGCTGGGCATAGTACTACTGGGCGTGGGATGTCATCGACGAGTTCATCTACCAATTCAACAGCTTCTGCAGCTACCGCCAACGAGTCGCCCAGAAAACGAGAATGAGGAGGAGATTGCGCTCCTGCGCGAGAACCCAAACACATGGGGCTGCTACAGCGTCCTCAACGTTCTGTACTCGCTTATCCAGCGGTCACAGATCAGCGAGCAGCTGGCGGCGATGAAGCGGGGCGAGGACGCGAGTCTGTACGCTGGAGAGTACGGCAACAGGCCGCTATACAAGATGCTGGGATACTTCTCCATCATCGGTCTGCTCCGCGTGCACTGCCTGCTCGGAGACTTCAGTCTCGCGCTCAAGACGCTCGACGATATCGAGCTCAACAAGAAGGCCATGTTCGCCCGTGTCATGGCCGCCCACTTCACCACATACTACTACGTCGGATTCTCCTACATGATGATGCGACGATACTCGGATGCCATCCGCATGTTCAGCCACATCCTCGTCTACGTCTCGCGGACAAAGAACTTCCAGAAGAACGCGCAGTACGATTCCATTACCAAGAAGAACGACCAGATGTACGCACTTGTCGCCATCTGTGTAGCCTTCCAGCCCACCAGGCTCGACGACACCATCCACACTGCCCTGAGGGAGAAGTACGGCGAGCAGTTCAACAGGCTGCAGCGCGGCGGCCCCGAGTCTCTTCCCCTCTTTGAGGAGCTCTTCCGCACCGCCTGCCCCAAGTTCATCAGCCCCACACCTCCCGACTTTGACAACCCAGAGGTCAACATTGACCCCGTTGAGCACCACCTCCGCATCTTCATGGACGAGGTCAAGAACAACATGATGTCTCCTACCGTCAAGAGCTACCTCAAGCTCTACACTACCATGGACCTGAAGAAGCTCGCTGGATTTTTGGAGGTTGAGCCAGAGAAGCTGAGGTGCTGGTTGCTCGTCAACAAGCAGAGGAGCAGGCAAATAAGGTGGGCCGAGGGTGGTCTGTTGGATGGTGATATCATTCAGGCCAGCGACCTCGACTACGCTATGGAGGGTGTAAGTATAGCACATCCCAGAAGCAAGACATTAGCTAATCAAAACCAGGACCTTATCCACGTTTCGGAGGCAAAGGTCGGCAGGAGGCTCGTAGACTGGTACCTCCGCAACTTGGCCAGGACTTACTAGACGGATCACGAGTGTTTTCTGAGAGCGACTATTCACATTCGGGGCCCGCACAATAGAGCATTGCGCTTGGAGTTGGAGGATTTCACGGGTGTATCCAAAAGCGTGTTTGCAAAATCTAAAGATACGCTTAGGCATAGGGAAGGCGAATATAGGGTCCAGGTCAGGGTATTCCACGACTGGATACCGCCCGCCGTGCGCGACGAATGGGCCGGGGGAAGGACAGGATGAGCGAACGAACAATGAGTTGAAGAATACCAACAAACTTTGCAGACTTTCAAATCACGTATCAATAAGTGGACGCTAAGTGGATGTGTGAATGCTTGGAACTTCACCTGGACATCGTCACATCATGTGGGGAAACAAGGGTTCAGCCTTCGTAGCAGACTGGTAGTAACTAGCGCATTGAGTGGACACGGCTGTTCTGCGTAATCTTCGCTTCTATTCGACCAACACCTTCCAAACAATCTTGACGAGCAAATTCCAGTTAAAGCGCATCGTTCGGAGCAAGCACGTCCGGAAAGATCATGGCGATAGAGTGAATGTCCTTGCCCCTCTCGGTCGCTCGTGCGCTCCGCAGATGCACTTTCCTCCCATCCACGTACTCGAAACCACAACAACAACGCCCAGTAATCGAGATTAGTCTCGCCTCCACGACCAGCCACCAGCTGCTTCTTCGATAGACATTCCAAGCCAGCGCGCCTCTCACGAGCCGTCAACGCTTTCACGCCAACCACACCCAGCGCGACACTCGCACCCAGACAAGCACGATGGCTCCGGATCTGAACAAGGTGCCGACCAACACAGGCAACACGTCGAGCACGCAACCGGCATCGGGCTCCTTGTCGCGTCAGACATCGTCACGTCAGGCATCTACACCGGGCTCTAGGCGAGCATCACAGATGGGCCCCCCCGCCGCTGCCTCTCGCATCGCCTGGAGGTACCTTACCACCGCCCCAGTCAGCATCACATCATGTACACGGTTTCCCGCCTCTCAGCCCCAGCGCGAGCGGCTACATCCAGGCGAGCGTCGACTCAGCAGGCGTCCCCATGAGACACCCACGCCCTATGACACAAGCAGAGCTGCACCTTGAGCTCGAGAAGGAGCAGGAAGCAGTCGTCAACCGTCTGACGCGAGAACTTTCGGCTCTACGCGCGCACTCCGCGTCTGTAGCCTCCAACACGTCCATGTCAAGCGCCGCCGACTCTTCCGTCGCCCACGCCGAAGCTCCAACCGGACCAATGCATCCCACATCCTCGCGCCGCCACCGCAGTTCCTCGAGCGTCTCCCGCAGCGGTCTACCACCAGGCCACGTTCCACACCGTTACTCGATCTCCTCGCAGCCTGCAACGGGCGATTCCCAGCGCGGTCACCGCAGCTCGAGCGTCGTCAGCACCCCACGCTACGAAGAAGTGGCACAACACAAAGCGGAGCTGGAGGAGGTCAAAAAGGAAAACGAGGCCTTGAAACAGCGCATTCGTGATCTCGAGCGCATGATCAGGGGCGGCAATGACGCTGCTGACGGTCAGAGGGGTCGGAGGGGTGCACCGCAGTCGCAGAGCAGCGGGGTTGGCAACGCTTCTGACACTGTGCAAGTACCTGCTAATGAGACAGCAGGGGTCCCCTAATAAAGCTGTGAATAGGGTGAAGGAGATGTGTTTGTAGGGTAGCACTGAGAAGGTGTGTTAATAGCGCAGGTCATGCTCAAGTTGCATGTGCGATGGGGTGGAACATGATTGCTCCCGCCATATCATCAGTTGTCAACATGGAGTTTGAGCGATTAGTCGGCACGGGTATGCCAATTGGCATGCTTACAACATTTCCATTCCAGTTCTACCATTAGTATCAAATGAACAAACAAATTGAATAAACCCTTCTCTGGCCATGTATCTAGATAATATTTATATTCTCCTTCCCCCCAGATCCCGTTACTTCACATGTTACCATCTTGCACCCCTTATCATTATCACAAACCTTGCTTCTTTCCACCCGCCACGGCATATACGTAGATCTACCGACTAACGCCGCTGATCCTCACAACACGCAACCTAAACCAAAACTGTACACGTAAACCCCCCATCCCTCATCACTATCCCAGCCGTCGATCTAGTTTACACTCGCAGCGCAGACCGGCAGATCAGCGGACGCGGGATGGGATGCAAAGAGGGGACTGAGGCGTTCAGTTGGATAAGGCTATCCTGTGACGATGATGACATATGTGCGAGATGTGTTTTTATGGCGCAAGCAGGTTCAGGTTTAATCCCTCATCGCGCATTACGAACGCTCTGATGCGCTGTGCTGTGCTGTGGAGGACGGGCGGGATGGGGCATCGGCATGGGGGCCGGTGTTGGCATGGGATGCGATGGGACGGCATGGGATGACATGACATGAGAATGTAAGCAAAAAAGCAGCCCCGCGTACGTCATTCACATTGAGGCACAGGTTTGAAGGAGCCTGATGTTTCGTTTTAAATTGGGGCTGAAGGTCGGGGTATTTCGGGGTATATACGTGAGGCGGACGACTGAGCTTGTTTGGAAGTTGCAAGTTTTTGAGTTTCGCAGCGATAGGTTTTCTTGGACGATACAGATATATTATTGCGCGAGGCTGCTGTTACCGTTACTACTCAGGTATGATTTGTGTGTTTGACGTTTAGATCATGTTTGTTAAGAAATCAGGAACAGAACACCTACTTTCAGAACCATCATACAATATGAACTGGCTATCTAATCTCCTCCGCGGTAAACTGAATAGCATGGGGAAAAGAAGAGGAGGAAGAGTAGCAGCCAACGTGTTGATGACGGGAGCGATGGTATGTACATGGATAACATATCCCGGCCGATGTAAAACTATTTAGACACGGAGAGATGCGATTTCTTTGCTAACTATATGTTCAGCTTTCCCGCCGAGCGCGGTAACAACAACTAAAACAACTACGGCGCATAACCCACCCACTTCAGTCTCACCACCCCCACCCACATCCTCCAACCCTTCAACCATCTCATCGGCGCCACAACGGCCGCCCATTCCTCGCATACCTACCGATATCATTACTGCGACGGAAAAGGGTATGATAGGCGCCCCCTTCTGCATACCGAGTGACTCGTCCACGACGTCGAGCCAAGGGCATGAATCTGAGGCGAGAGATGTGGTCGGGGAAGGGACGTTGCTGACGAGGGCGGAGGAGGCGTGTGGTGGGAGGGGAGGAAGAGTAGTTGGGTGGGTGGAGAGAGGGAGGGTGGGCGGGGTGTTATGTTAAGGGGGTTGATGTTTAGGGGTTTGTTGGAGGGGGTTATGGAGTTATAGGGTGAGGTCTGGATATGAGTCTGGAATTGCGTATGTTGAAGGGGTTGGTGTACGATACGTGGAGGTCTTGATTGAGAGACGTTGTTCTTGTCTCGGTTTCATGGAAGAAAGAGATGAATCCTTCCTTTCTATCTCTTAACTGCCCCAATTCGTCAACATCGAAGAGCGCGTAAAATAGTAACGATACCATCACAATCCCCTTGTCTTTCCTCACACCCTCCTGCTACCAGTCATCTTCCTGTTCTCACTATGCCGCTTCGCCTTCAACGCATCCCGTCTCCTCTTCTTCCACGCACGATTCAAATCACCCCGATTCTCCCAGAACCATTTCTTAAACTCGCTCTCTGGCTTCTCCTCTTTACCACCAGCGGCCGCTGCATTCTCTTCCTCTTCTTCTTCGTCTTCTTCTGCGACCTCAGCTAGCTTGGCTTTGGCATTTGCGCGCGTGTTCTGAGATAGGCGTTGTTCGGCGAGGGAATCTAGGTCGCCCATGTCCTCGTCGTCGTCGGCTTCTTGGCTGTTCTTGCGCCAGTCGAAAGAGAAGCGGCGACCGAGGCCAGCGGTGTCGGGGGTTGGTGCCGCGCTGCGGAGGCCGCGCCATTCAATGTCTCGTTGAGTGAAGGGGGTAGTGGGGGCTTCATCGATGGGCTGGCCGCGCTCGTCGTCGACTTCCATCGTGTCTTCGTTGTTGTCGAAGAAGCTGAAGGATGTGTCGATTGGAGTGAGCTTCTTGGCGGGGGTTGACGTTGCGCCATCTGCGGGCTTTGCGCGCTTGAATAGTGCTTCGAGGGGGTGGACCTCCTTCTCTGAGGATATAGTTGGCTGGACTTCGGGTGTTTCCTGCTTTCCACAGGACGAGCGGGAGAAGATGCAGACGATTCGGCTTCTGATTCTGATTCCGACTCAGACTCGGAGTCGGAAGAGTCCTCATCTCGGAAGAAGACGAAACTACTGATGATTCGTCCTCAGATTCAGAAGATGATGGTGGAGGACTAGCTTTCTTCTTCTTCTGGTCCTTCGTGGTCGTAGACTTTCCTGTGCCGTCGATCCCAGGCTCTTTGAGCCTCTGAGGGCGCGTCTACCAGTTCCAGAGCTCGCCTAGCCTTGGCCTTCCCAGTCTCAGGCTCAACAACAACACCGTCCTCGTCGACCCAACCCCTGACCATGACATAGTCGACTGCAGGCTTCGTTGACAGGGCGACCTGTGGTTGCTTCAGGAAGCTGGGGGTCTTGATATTCTTCTCGAACTCGTGAACAACGACTCATTTATCTTTGACTTGTTCTTCTCCTTTTTCTCCTTCTTCACCTTCTTCTCGTCCTTGTGCGCGGCTTCGGTCGCAGCCACGGGGTGTCAGCTTCGCCTTGAAGAGCAGCTCAGCATCTTTGGTATACTTTGAAGCTTCCGCTCCTTCTTCTCATCCTTGCCACGCTTGTCCTTTTGTCTTTCTTATCCTTTCTTATCCTTCCTGTCCTTCTTCGACGGCTCAGTCCAACCGCGCTGACCTTTCTGTCGTCTGGCAGCTCTACACCTTCCAGAACGCCCTCTTCCCTCTTCTTCTTCTCTTTCTTCTCCTTCTTTTCTTTTTTCTCCTTCTTCGCGCGCTTCGAGGGGCGTTCGGTATCCGCCACTTCCTTCGCCGCGTCGGCTTCTGCCAGCACCTTGCGCTTCTCTGGTTTCGCCATCTATATCCGCACCTTCGCGCCTCTCAAGATTGTGCCGTTGAGCTTCTTCTTGATCTTTTGAGCTCAGGTTCGGGTAGCTCTACGTAGCCGAAACCTTTCTCGGGGAATGTGGCAACGGTATGGTACGAGATATTCTGCGCAGAGGAAGGACAGACGGCGCGACGTAGACCTTGAGCAGCTCGGGCGGAAAGGCGTGATATGCAGGCGGACGACCTTGCTTTCGGGTTGCGCTTCGGAAGAGTTAGGCGCTTGTGCTGCTGGCATTGGGTCGCAGATTCGCGCGCGTGCGACAGGTGTATAGGACTGTGCGCAAAGACTCCAAGGCGTCTGGAGCAAATCATACGGGCTACAAGGTTGAGCGACGCCTGTAAGCGTCGTGTAGAAGTGTCGGGGCCGGAGGGGAAAGGAAAATGCTTAGCGCGACAAGGGACCCCAGCTATCTGGTCTTAGCGCGAATGCGGGCGGAGGTTTGGAGCTCCACTCTGACCATTATTATGTTCATCGCGCGATAGACGTCTAGACTTAGATCAGATTGACATCTTGTTAACACTGCAATTGATTTGTCGCTTGTACAGACTCAATACGTTATCTCTCGTTGCCACCACCACGATGCGGAGACCGCCGTACCTGCTCTTCCTTTTCCTTACCTTTCTCTCATCCCTCTCCCTGTCCCTTGCAGCCTGTATGTCTCCTCCCTTCATACGCAGACACTTGCTTACATACTATAGCGCGAACGTCTTTCTGCAAATGCACCTGCTTCGGCAACAGCACCATCGTAGCCCTCGACGCGCCCAGCACGAAGAAGCCCGCCGCCCTCGAATTGAAACCCCGCGCCTCCAAGAAGACATGTAACGACTGCAACCGCCAATTCTTGCCTCGGGTTATGGCTTCTGCGCAGGAGAGAAGGAGGAGAACGTGCTTACAACTTGTTTTCAAAGGGACTCTGCGAAGGACCAGGCAGTTGTGTTTGTGTTCATCGGAGCGACGGTGGGGCTATTGGGGTGGGCGGCATTGCGGCCTTATGTTGAGGGATGGAGAGAGGTACGTGTAGATGAGCGAGGCCGACTTGCTCGGGGACTGACTGAAGCAGCGTGCACGGGAACGTCGAAGCTATATACCAGTGGCTGGTCAAGGGAACTAGCGAGTGGAAGGCTTGGAAATCGTTTGAACAGTATTCCGTGTGCAATATGGACACGAAACGAAGATACCCAAGATGATCGTTGACTCCTTCGTAACTGCTGAAGAACTCCCTCATGCATACATCTAATGTGACAGCAATGTACAGGCTGAGTGTCGTATTATAGTACACGAAGCGTCTGGCTTCACTCTCCGCTGTCCTTTCTCTACTCTTTCTTCGATCCACCCTTCATGAATCCAAACCAGCCCCTTGCCGGTTCTCCTCCACTTGTGCACCGCCTTCTCTGCTGTGTTGTCTAGCGGCCCTCCGACTACTGGTGTCGATGATGTGAATGTGGATGTTGTGTCGTTCGCCCTGGCTTCTTGTACCGCAGCAGCGATGCCCAGGTTTGAGTTGCCTTGGGCTTCTTGCCGCTTGATCTCCTCCACCGCCAACTTTCTCTGCTCTGCGATTGCTTGGTCCTCCTTCCAGTCGCCGTGCAGCCACCATAGCAGCTTAGAGGGGGCCTTTCGCTCTGCCTTCTTCCTCTCCATTGCTTCTTGCTCCTCGGCGATACCTGTGACGAGAGCGGCTTGTGCGGGTGAAGCTGTTCCTGATGCGACGGCATTGCGGGCGGCTTCGAGGATCCTGGCTTGGACCCGTTCCTCTTCGGCGAAGTAGATTGCTCGTTTCCGTCGGTTGTAGACGATCATGTCACCTATTGAGAAGACTGCGAGGACACCGACGCAACCTGTTTAAATAGTTTAAATAGTTAGCATCATTGCTTCCCAGTGGCCAGTGCAGCCATTGGCTATTCGTATGCCCACATACCCGTTGCAAATATCAAGCCGTAGACGGTAAATCTATGCGCCGCATCCGCCGCCATTCTACCGTACAAGTACATGTAATCCCACCTCGTCACCTGCGCCATCTTCGCCCTGTTTGCTGCCTCTCGTAACCGCTTGACTTTCTGTTGTGGCGTTTCGTTTTTCGGTGCGGGATCCGCGAATTGCAGCGTCGTTGCCCGCCCGCCAGGTCTTGTGTGCGCCCATACTCCAGTGGCTGTGAATCGCGTCGACTCCTTCGGTGATTTTGACATAGGGGGCGGCGGTGGGAGAAGCGCTTGGGGGGCAAGTGTTGTGGAAGGAAGATGTCGTGAAGATCGGAGCGGGAGAACGAATGATTCGATGATTTCCAAAAGTCGAGATGGACTAGGGTTCGATGCGGAGATTTCCGCCCACCTGCCCGCTAACGTACATCGCCAGCCATACCAAGCTCGATTGCTTATCAGATCTTTCTCGTGTTTAGGTTGGGGGGTCGCTGGTACGTTGAGTCCTAGAGGGCAGCAAAATATAGCATGAGCATCGCAGGCCAACGATTGCTTCTCTCTCTGCAACTTGATCTGGGCGCAAACAACACGCCATGTTCCAACGTTCACGCTTACAATTAACACCACTCTTGCAACATCCTAGCGTTGGAGATTCGCCTTGACATCATCAAAACGTGCAGTCGCAGACATGGCGGGAAACATCAATCAAATCTAGATTTGGAACAAATTTTGGCTACGCTTGCGAACCTTCCCAAACCGGAGGCTCAGCCGGTTCAAGATCAACAACAACAACCATACCAACCCTACCAGACTCAGCAGGGATATCCAGAAACTCAACAGGCATACCCGAACCAGCAAAATACCCAGTATCAGCAACCAACTGATCCTCGCTTGGCTGGTCGCGCGTCTCTTCAACATCGACAGCCACCCCCGAAACCGCAGGACAGAGTTTCTTCTCCGTTCATCGATCCTTCGACCATCACGGAATGGAAACAAGGTCTCCGCTGTGTGAGCAAGATAGCTTCTCAGAACCCAGACTTTGCTCCTGCAGTTCGCAAGGTAGGCCATACGTCTCTTATGAACCCACGTATAATGCTTACGAAACAATCAGTTAATGAAAGATCAAGAGTCGAATGTCAAGTCTTGGGAGGCCGGACGGAAGAATATCATTGATGAACACAAGTTTAAGCGCGAGAATGAGCGAACTCATAGAGCTGCGTTGTACGTTGTAGCTACCTTCCCATGACAGCTGGCTAATGTTTGTAGGTCTCTACCAGGTCTCTTAGAGAATACACCCGCGCTTCGAGTATGTGTCAATACATCTGTCGTTGTGGATGAATACTGACGCGGCACAGACACCAGAGCGTGAAAAGGAAGAACTTGACCAGTATGACGCCAAGGTATACCGAGCTTCCAAAGCCATGGTCGAATCACAAACATCGTCACTCAAAGTTTTGGGTGTTCCCTTCTTCGGTGTAAAGCCACATCTGGTACTAGGCTCCAGCTACGACCCGACAGAAGTGGGAGACTCACAGCCCACACCGACGGGTGGTAAGATATCAAAAGAGCAGCTTCTCGAATTGCAGCGGAAGATGCTGAACCACTTGATGGAGCTGTATGGGGACTGAGGAGGCTTCTTTACAAAACGAAGACGCTTCGTCGCCACAGAACGATCAGTAGTCTGCCAGTGCTAATGGTGGGTGGTTGCCGGGCTTCGGACTTAGCTTTCTGATCCTAGACCAAAACGTTCTGTTTCCTTACCATATCCGTGCATTCACCACCCCAGATAGCCTCTAGCTGCAAACGTTTCTATAAAGCGACATCGGCCCATGGTGATGACGTCAGCTGCGCGATGTTACCGGCAACAGTGGAGAGCAGAGTGAGCGCGCGAGTGCAAACGTACGCGAATCTCCCATTCACTGGTCCAAGTAATTGCCTCGACATCATTGGCTACTCAAGGTAAATGGGGCTAGTCTCTGTTGGCAGCAATCACTCTCATAACAACAAAACATCCGCCTGTTCTGTAATCATCAGCTTCCAGTCACCTCACCACGCTCATTGAAGTATCAGATCAATTCCACATTCTTTTTGCTACCCACACTCGCTCCTTCCCTCTACTCACTTCAACCTCAGTCGTTCCTTCCGATACAAACGTTCACCCTCTAAGATGAACACTGTACGCGCACTCACCATGATCGCAGTTGCCGGTAAATAGTTTCCAATCAGCCCACTTACCCACTATATCATTCTTGCTAACTCGAATGTAGCAGGCGCTGCCGCGGAATCTGCCCAATGGAGTCCCGCTATCAACCACGTTCTCGCTCATGCTGTAGCTACACGTGACGACCACTGCGCTGAGCTTCCAAAGCTCTGCACAGATGCGGTGCTGCTACGTGGCTATGAGACGACTCTGACCTACCTGTGTCCCGAGAAGACCGAAGGCCCATCTACTGTCACCGTCACTACAACCAGGACGACTACGGTCACGGCTGACAAGAGCCTGACCTCTAGCGTTGCTCCCGCTCCCACCTCGGATGTTGGAGCTTCTCCTTCAGGACAGCCTAACCCCAACATTCCTGTCTCAGCCACTTCAGACGCTAGAGGTCCTCCCGCAGAGGAGCTCACCACAACCGTGATCATTCAGTCAACAGTCCAGGTTACCATCACTAGATCGGTCACCAAGGTCGCCCCCAGCTCCACGTCTTCGCTTCTTCCTCCTCCATCGATCACTTGGTCCTTCACGGCGGTCCTTCCTACCGATGTCAAATCCTCTCATGTCTCGGGCGGATCGTCGTCGGCGTCTCGCATTGAGCTACCTTCGACAGTGTCGTCCGTCGGTCCGCCGTCATCTAGCACGAGCAAGTCGTTTGGATTGTTCCCTAGCCATACTGTTAGCAGCTCGTCTTCGGTGGCTTCCACGTCTTGGTCACCTTCGACGTCTTCGGCGGCTTCCACGTCTTCGTTGGATCCCATGTCTTCGGCTGCTTCCACGTCTTCGATGGCGGCTTTACCGTCGGGTGGTCATCTTGCTCCACCTTTCGCGAACGGTACCGCTATCAGCTACACCCCGGGCATCTTCCCCACTCTGAACGCAAGGAACGACAAGTCCACCACGACTATCACCTCTACGGTCACTCACCATGCCTCTAACCATGCCATGGACTCTGCCCATGCCTTGGACATCGCTCATGCTGCGGCCACCGAGACCAAGAAGGGCCAGGCGGGAGATAATCGGGCCTCGTTCATTGCGCTGTTCTTCGGCGTGTTGGTTGCTACCTGGCTTATCTAAGGAGGCATAGCTACTTCTCTTGGATAGCGGTATGGCAGTGTGAGGAACGAATGTTCTGGATTACACGTGCGACGGTGTTACGATGCAATGTGTCGAGTGTTTTCACGAATGACACAATATGTACATAATCATAGCGGCACGTCAACCTAAGAATAAGCTGAACGCCATGGAGCCTACATTACCACAAAGTTTCTCAGTCTACTCACTTTATTCTAGTGTAGTCCGCAGAACTGTTCGGCTTTTTTCTTGCAAGAAGTGGCGGTGTAACGGCCCTCTGAAGCAGATAGAGACATCACAGGAAATGGATGCTTGATTGTATGTATACTTCTTGGTTTCGAAGTGACATGGAGTGCCATATGCATAGGCTCGGCGATGGCTGCAGCGACTTCAAACAGCGAGCTCTCCAGCAGCTTGCATAAGGAAGTGATCAAGCCGTAAAGTAACTTGCTCCAATGTGGGAGTATCTTCTCCAACTACCTGCTGTGCACCGACAGAAATAAGCCAAGGGCGATTGCGTGCCTTCGACTCTAAATCATCGAGCTCTTCTAAAGCCTCAATAAAGTCTGCTCTTTTCAGTTCGAAGGCGTCGCCGTCAAACGCCCCGGAGCTCCATCCACAATCGCGGTAGATCTTTTGCCACGCTCTTACTCGATTAATGTCCCGCCGCAACCAGTCAGCACCATCTGGGCCGTGCTGCTGCCTCAAATGCTGGATCGCAGCGGTTGTATCAGTAGGAAGGCGAATTCCTCCCGGAAAAAGGTTCTGCATAACAATAGGATCTTCCAAGATCTTGCGCGCGGGTGGATGGGAAGGATCGTCGTCCTCTCGGGGATCGAAATATGGAGCCCATTCCAGGCTTTGAAACCTTGAGATAATTTCATCGAGCACAGTCTCTACTGGTCTCCTAGGCGCTTTCTCCCATTCGTCGCGGTCAGGTTCCAACTGAAGACCACTCGATTGTCGTTTCTGTATTCCGTGAATGTTTAAACTATCGGTACGCAATCAATTAACATACGGTCCTGTGTATCATAGATCAAGTCAGTACCGTAGTGCCCGCTATGCGTATCACCGCTTGTCAACCTCAGCATGTAAGGCGGCAGCAACTTAGTATCCTCATCTCGCTTCACCCTCTCACCCCATCGCAGATCCTCGACGAAATCTGTGTCACCGGAGTCGGCGAAGTATGTCACGGCTTTTGAGCGGGGGATCATTTCGACGCCGAACCACTGCCACCCTTCGACGATTTCGCTGCGCATTGCGGGCATCGATCTTATCAACTGAATGACCTCAGAATCCAGGCCTATTTTCTCGAATGGAGT